AGTTTCACTGGTTCCCAGTGCCAGCGCTCTCCAGAGCAGCTACAGAACCCTGGAGAAGAAAAGGATGCCCTGCAACCACAGATTTCAGGCTGCTGACATCACGTTACTTAAGACTTAATGCACTACTGAAATAACTGCTTGAAAACGATTCCCACAGCAAATGTGTAAAGGACAGCAGCCAGTAACACCTCACCTTCGAGGTTTGCATCATCTTCATGCTAATCTTCCCTGAGCCAGTTATGATCATTTCTACAGTTACCAAAGCCCAGCGAATATGAGACAGCTCCCACCTCAGCCCAAATTGTATACCAGGTTAAGAGCTAGCACAAAAAAAGAAAAAAAAGAAAAAGAGAGAAAAGAGAAAGCTTTTTTGTCACTTAATTGTGAGCCACAATACAATAGTCCATATAACTTGCCAATCACACAGGCATTGTCTGTGAAGTTCTAGCTCTAGTTTTAACATTTCTGTAACACATTAATATGGAACACTTTAAAGTGTGAAGCTTTAACATTTTACAATTATTTGATTAGCATTGCATCTATTAGAGCTCATTCCCGAAAGAGTCATTTTTTTTTTAATCCTGAGCAATTTTAGCAGGGAAAGAATTCTCTCAAAAGACTCCTTTCAAATGACACTAACATGGACTATTTCTTATTTGGTTGGATGCAGAGCATGCATTAATAGCCCTCAAGCACTGTATGTATTGCATGACCTTATTTTTTCAGAGCTCATGTCCTATTCCTGGGCAACAAATTCAGACTGCAAAAAGAAACAAATCCAGAGTTGAGTTTTAAGCACAATTCAGGGGGGACTTCTCACTGCAGGAGCTTAGTGCAAAGATGGATGTGTCCTGAGGTCTCTATTCCAGACTATCCTCTGAAGAGGGCAAAGCAACAAACTGAACAGCAGTTGTGCTATATTTTGTTTTTTTAAGTATAAATAGTGTTCTGCAGAGCAGAAGTTGAGGATTATCATTTTAAACATCTGCTCCAGGGCTAGACTGAATACTTACTCATTCAACAGAAAGAAAAAAGGAACTAGGGTCTCTGATGGTGAATTTGGATGCTTTCCATGTACTGGATCCTGAAGCTCGTATCAAGCTCCTCAAGCCTGTTGCGTTGATCAAGTAACCTGCTATCAAAATAGGGCCAAATTTCAGAGGGCTAACACCATTTGGAAGATACCATAGAATTTAAACATCCATAGCAGACAGAATAAAATTCTTGAGGTGTGCAGTGTGAAAGCTCTCAGTATACACACAAGAAAGGTTCAGTTGAAATGACTTACTTGTGTGTGGACAACTTTTCACTGAACGAGCTATTAGACAACATGCCAGATAACAGCTAAAGGTAAAAAAGAATTATATGTTATGTTTCTCACATACAATTCTTTTTTAAATTTAATTTACTTAAACCATGGTTGGTAGACTTTATGAGGGTCTCATTTGTATCTTACCTTTCTGATTGTGCTAGACAAGGATAAACTGTACATGTTATCAGAAGAGCTGTTCTACTGATAACTAGAAGAATAGACAGCAGCCAGAACATGACTCTTAGGAAAGCAAGTTGATATTTCTACTCTACATAAGCACAGGAAAAAGTAAGTATTCCAGAATAAAGAATGGCAGTGTCTACAAATAGAATACAATGTTATTATACACCCTGAAATAAGATTGAACAGATGTCAAGCATCTACCTGGAATGATTTTTAATAACCAAGATATATATCAGCACTTTCCAAATAATTATTTAGCTTTAGAAAGCATATATTTTAGAAGAAAAGGGAGCTTTTCGTATGTTTTACATCAAGAGTTCAAGACATTTCCCACCCATTCCAGACTGACGCTACAACGAGCTCTGTGGAAGGCACAGTTTTTGGAGGACCACAAGCTCTGTAACACCACACTGACACTGGGTGGAACAGAACAGAGCCAAATCCTCCTGGATAAGAACACAACTGAAAGGCAGATTTTGAGGTTTGCTATTCTACTTCATCTAGCCAATGACAAAGGCAAGTAAAGTACACACATTTATGAAGTAAATAATGCAGGAACTTAACCACTCTTCCTCAGTTATCAGCAGGTGCAGATTTTCTCCCACATCTCCATCTCTTTGGCATGGAACAACTTAACGATCCTGCTCCTTTGCTGCTTAATTGAGGCCTCAGCTAGGCATGTGACAAGACTCCACAGAAGAAATGGAAGGAAAAGAAAATGCTTGCTTTCCCTCTCGATAGAAGACCTGGCTTTTCATCTGGGAATGCATAACCACAGACCTTTAAAATGCCTATTACGATACAGTAACTTGCACTATAAAGGCAAATATATACTGAAGAAGAATTTCACGAAATAGCTGCTACCTCTATCAGTCTTCTGACCAAGCATAATGTAAGGTTAGTGTGGTCACTCCATCAAAACATCATTTTCTGGTTTAGTGAGTGAAGCATGAACTTGGAAGAATGAACTTTTTTCTGATTAGCTTTTCTCTTTCCTATGTGATACCCCATCACAAAAGCATGAAATTCTATCAGTGCTTGCTAGACTATTCTGTTTCAATCATTTTATTTCATCTGGTTTAACTACTATAACCAAGCCATAACTTATCCTTAAGTTTATCCCTTTTCTACTCCAGAACGGGACTCAGAGAAAAAGCTTTTAACCAACCAAGAGAAAAGTTAGTCAGTACTGCCAGTAATTCACATCATGATTCTGGATCACCAATACTTTCATAAAGCAAAATATCCTCCTTACTCTTATTGAAAGTAATCTACAAAATAACAATCCCCCCCCAAATCCAGTCCTTTGTGTGATATTTAATCAGATAAACAGAATTTCGGTAAAACTAGTAAAAAACAGATCTCTACTTGAAATGTCTGTATTTTCAACTAACGTTGATTACTGTTAATGTTGATTACTGTTAATGTTGATTACTGCTGCCATTCCCTGGACTGAAACAATTGTGAAGTGGGCAACTAAGGTGAAAATGAGCACAAAGCAAGAAGCCTGGAATGAGACAGACGACCACAAATAGGAAGCAGTTAGCAGAAGGAAAACCTTTCCTGTCAAATGGAAAATTGGGATTTTGTTGTTTTTATGATTCCATTTGTCCTGCTTTTTTCTTTTTTTTTCCTTTTGCTCTCAGATGTAAATGTGGAACGTGCTTTGGAAACAGCAAAAAAAAGGGAGCATCAAAACCACTCATCAGACAATTGGGCTATTTTTAATAATTTATTATATGTCCTAAAACAAAGATCAAAAGGGAATATATCCAAGCATTTATATTCAATTCCACATTACCTGATGACTAATTTGTAAAGAGTGCAAAAGTCTTCACAACTCAAGCCAAAATCATTTGAGGATACTTTGATATAATGCCACAAAGGATATGAGCAGGAAGGCAGCAGGAGTTACAAATGGCCAAGGTCCATTGAAAGTGCTAATAAAAGAATAATGGAATTTCCTTGTTCTATGAATAACAAGGGTTTGACACAGGAGAATTTCAATATGGAGAAGAATATCAAAGCTTCTGGATCATCGGTTGCCTCTCCTTATTAGATATTTATTTTCTTACTATTACGTATAACTTAATAAGCTTCAACTGAAAAAAATAACAATCCTGTTCAAAATCTTGTCACACTAATTTCCTTTATGCTTCATATTTATCAATTTTCATAGGTCCTTCACTTTTGCTTTATTAGGTCTCACAGACAATCAAAGATGATCTATAAAAAATACTTCAAACAGATGGATTTCACTTGAAATGATATATAATTAATAAAATTGCAGAATATCTACTGTTTGACAACTTTTTCTTTTTTTTTTTTTTTGAAACTGTAAATGCCAAAGTAGGTGGTACCTGTGGAATTCTTGTAGCAACAGCCTGCCTGATGAATTTAATCCACTGATATATAGAGAATGTACTTATTTCTCACAGCTGTTTGTAGAGCTATACACACACTTTGCATGTCTTCATACATACAGACAGACGTGCATACATACACTCTTTTGCTGTCTTCTTCCCCCAAATATAAAACTCAGCTCTTTTTTCCACTGTATGCTATACACACGTACACTTACAAAATGGCACATGCTTTGCAAAACAGAAGCAAAGACAGTGATGTCATACTGCTGACAAATTGCTGAAGAATCGAGTGCACTCGCCTAAAAAGCCATGCCCACAGATGGATACAAGACTGGACAAACTCCTTGAAAATATTTACAAGTTTTCTTAACTCTCTCTTCAAACTGTTTAGTGCATTCTTTCTCATAATGTCTACACAAAAGCATTAAGACTATTGGCATCACAGACATGTTGTAATGGCTGCCTTTCAACCAGATTTTATTGTCTGTGTCTCCTGGTACTCCAAAATATCCTTATAATAGCTTTAGTTCTTTTACTTCACACTGCACAACGCTTTAGGAACTGATCTTGACTTCTTACCCCTGTGATACAAGATGCAGCAAACAATGGTTCCAGTCTTTCAGGGTTCACAGACTTAACAAACAAGGATCAAATTATAGTGACGACGACTACTTTTTCTTTTCTCCCAAACAACCAGGAGGCTGTTAGCAAAACAGCATCTTTCAGTGATAGCTTCAGAATCAATAGATAATTCATTAGTATCATACATCTCTAGGCCTAATTGACACAACAGTCTAAGTATCATATTCAGGAATAACATAGCTTCTGAATAGAGAGAAAAAAGAAGGAAATCAGATACCACACATAGTCACTTTGTACAATTTATTGACAATCTATAAATTACACTTCTAAGAGGTTAAAGCAAGTTACTGATTCCAGAAATCAGAAAATGCAGCTTTTCAAGCTTGGCTTGTAGAAACAAAAAATCATTCATCTGACAACACAATTTAAGTAACATGAATGCACTAATGCCTTCAATTTTCAATTTTCTTTCGTTTTTGCATAGACATAAAATATAACTACCATGGATGTTTGGAATTATTCGTAATAACAAATGTAGATAGCATATTTTTCCTTACCTTATGATCATATGGATTGTATGAATGAAACAGCTGGGACAGATCCTTTGTTCTTTGTTTTTTCTGAAAAGTAATATTAATAAATAATCTCCATTAGAAGAAGTAAAGGAAAAAGAAAGAAACTACGGATTTAAAAAGTTGCATGCAGGTACAAATTCTATTCCCACTTTGTTAATGGAACTGTAAGTATGAAGAGTAGTGTATGCAGATCAAGGATACTAAATATCACAGGAAAAAAAAATAATATAGATATTAATATATAAGAATATAAGAACATAAGAACATAACCTTCGTATATATAGAACATCAGAGGAATGTGTAAACAATTCGTATTTGTTTTAATTTCTGAACAATAAAACATAAATAAAGTTTTAGAATACAGATAAACTTTGAAGATCAGGCCCCAATCTTGCAAAGACCTGTCTGCTATTCTAGTGTTCACTTGCACTCTTGCTTTTCAGCAGATTGAATTTAAAGGAAGGCGGTTTAAAGACAAATCATATATTATTTTCTATCTCTTTTGATGCTAATACTCTCATTGCCTTGACTGTTGAAAATTAATAGGTAGCATGCCATTAAATGCCAAGTCAAAGGGAAAGAGGTTCTTTCTGTTAAGGACAAAGTTCAAAGACAAAACCTGCTTAATCCAGTTTCTACTGAAATCAGTGAAAGACCTTTCAGTGATTTCAGCAGATGTTAAACAGAAATCTCATCTGCATTCCATAGAGAGGGGCATGGGAAAAGGAAAAAAACACAACACTCTTCATCTTGAATACAGGGATGAGTCACATGTAAGTTCAGAGTTTCATTATGTCAAAATTAATAGCCCTGGAAGGCAGAGCATTCCACGTTGGAACTGGAAAGAGGAGACAAGAACTCTTTGCTTGCAGTCCGTCCTGTTGTTTTGTTTTAGCAAGCGTTTCAGCGAAAGCAGTTTTCCAACTGACTGTCAGGATCTGGTCGTGTTTCCAGCATGCTGTTAACTAAATAGCTGAATAACAGCACTTTGGGAAACTACGGGACAATTTCGTAATTTTCGACTACATATTTTCTTTCCATACATTTTTATTTTCTATCAAATGTTCAGATGCACTTAGTTGTACAGGCTATACCTTCAGTTACTAGTACAAATTTAAGACAACTGCATAATTCCAACTTCAAAGTATCAAACTAATATTACTACTTCTGTGAAGTCACTAACTCTGTTTCAGTTTTGGCCACTAAAGAGTCAAAATAATTACCCCTATTTGAAGAAGAGTGCTGAATTTTGTTTCCAGGATGAAGGGTTGCTTCTCTTATAGACAATTCTACCACAGTAATACAGCACACCTCATACACCTAACCAGCTTTGTTTCTGTGAGATTACCAAGCAACTTTAACAAAGCAATATTAATAAAGACATTTTTGATGGTATAGGATTTCTCAGAGACCTAATATGCCAAAAAAAAGAGGAACCTTGGCCCTCTAATCCCTATTAATACCTGTTTTATTTTCAAAGGAATAAAAACACTCTAACGAAAGGCTCAGATAGTACAACTCAAATTCCATTTCCACCCTGCAATGACTTCAATCCTTGTTGCACAGCAACAGTACTTACAATACTATAGAAAAGATTTAGAGAAATGCCATAATAAATTGAAGAGTCATCAAGATGATTATTTAAAACTTACTTAAAATTAATTTTATATATAATCATGCAAGAAGTACTTTAACAAGGAATCTAGAGATCTCCACTAAACTTCCTAGGAAAACAAAAAAACAAATGAAAAACACCAAAACAAAATTCAGAAAATAAAGTATAATTCTTTTTTCTTGCTGAAGGCTACTTCCCCCATTTCCATTTTGACTGCCTACAACGCGAGTTTGAATACTTTCATTGAAGTACCTTTAGTAAATATCAATAAAAATAATTTATGACAGAAAACCCTCATTCTTCATCCTCACACATGAGACAAATTGCCATTTACAGTGCCATTACAGTACTCTGTTGGCCATTACACGTAATGAAGATGTCCACTGTTACACAGCATTCACCATCATCTTCCATTTTTGTATTTTAGGAGACCACTCACTCACAGAAGGTAGAAGTTTTGCATTTGTATGGTTGGTTGGTTATGAAATCAAATGTTCCTGATTGAGGAAATGCTGAAAATTTATGAAAAAGAGCAACATGCAGTGGAGTTTCTGGAGAAATACCTTGAAAAAACACTCCCAGAAAAGTCACAGGATGTCCTGCATGCTTAGTTCACCTAAATCTAAACGGTACTTGACTGTTTGTAGGAACTTTGGATACATTAAGACAAAGATGCTTTAATTACAGAGTTGAGGTTGACCAGTGATAATTTGTGTCTTTCTAGAACACCGAGTTCACTCAACTCGGATCTATTAATAAAAAAAACCCAACAAATAGAAAGCATTTGAAAGTTTTTTTACCATTTTTAAAGATTAAGAAACAAGCACAGAGTTTAAGCTGCTGTAACAGTAAGTTACAGCAGAGTAGAGTAGAGTATTAATTGCAAGTAGAGTATTAATTGCAAGTTTTTAAATGGAGAAAAGGCATGGTTCCCAGCTCACCTGCAAGAGGAGAAAAGCACGAGAGATGCATCAAAGCAGGCCTCTCCACATCTAGACATGACAGGAAAGCAAGGAGATAAGGTTCTTCTTTCTCTGCCTCTAAGGCACTATTCCAGACACTAAACTTTCTGTCTTCCTTTTAGCTTGAGCCTATTGATAAGCATCTCCCATGACTTTCCTTAATGCAGCTTGACTCCTATGTCTCTCTACTCACTACTAAGCCAACATCCTTTTCATACTGATCATTGAAAATAAAGTATATGATTGTGCAGACATTTTTTCACTTCTCTGCTTCAATACATTCTTAAAATGTTAAATTATACAGGAGATACAACACATACTTTTTCTTGTTAGCTGCAGAAATATGTAAAAGATTGACAAAGAATAGATGAAAGTGGACTTGCAGGACTGAGTTTAATACTGAACAATCATATATTTTACACAAGGCCATGATGGATGGCCCTCCTCAAGAAAAACACAGCTACTGTAAATGAAGCTTATTACTAAAATACATGTAAGTAATCAAGCACTTCTCAAAAGACAGACAGTGTTCAACACGCAATTATAAAATAAAAAACAGAAGAAAATACTTCATTGAATAAGCTGGGAAATGAAGTAACTACTGAATACTAAATACCATGGACTCACACAAGTATATTAGACTTTTCTGTTGTTCTTTCCTTACTCGGTTCATAATGACCTGCCTTTCAAATGGCATTAATGTAACTTGTAAACTGCTTGCTTTCTTTTAACCATCGTAGATCTATAAAGCTTAGTGTGAAGGAAAATTCAAATATTGCTCAGATACTTTTATTACAGATTACTTAGGAGAAGCTAACAAATGGAATACTCTCAGTTTTTCACCTAGTAATAAAGAATTTCAAAAGAATGAAGTGTGCATAACATGCATGGTGGCTTCTTCTACTAGCAGAGCAACATACAGGATAAGTTCCTGTAGACATGGAATAAAATGCCACTACATTCCTTCTAATGCAGGAGAGGCCAATAGCTTCTATCTAGAGGTTTTGTAAATGTAAAGCTTCAGACAGCACAGTCTCCTTCCTTTTTCTTTGTTTTCTGGTTACTCTCCTCTTCTAGAAAGATGGAAGAATAAAGGATCTGAAGGTGTTCAAGGTCAGGTTGGATGGGGCCATGGGCAACATGATCCAGTGCCTGACTTAGTGGGTGGCAACCTATGGCAGTCGGGCTGGAGCTAGATGATCTTTAAGGTTCCTTCCAACCCAAGCCATTCAGTGATTCTATGACCTCATGTGATTTTTTAAAGAACTACTGAAGAAAGGAGAAAAAAAGTTATTTATCACAGATTTTCCATCAGCCCTGGATTAGAGATTTCATCAACCTTACTCAATTTAGCCCTAAGCTAGTGCTAAAAATAAGAAGAATTTGAAATTGGGTTAAAATGACATTACCACTTTGCAAGTAAGCATCCCACCCACAGAACAGCTAATACTCTTTTGATAAATGAGCTCTTCACACTATGTCTTCTCAGGACACACAGTTAAACAGAAGTGGGCAAAACAACCTAAGCTCTTTGCACATCTTGTGACAATAGAGCACCTACAAACTAGTGGATGAAAGAATATAAATCAAATCATTTTTCAGTTTTTAAGTTGCCTAACTTCCAGAAATCACATTTCTGCATACTTTTCATTTTTATGACCTTACAGAAAGCATTCTAAGCTAATAAAAATAATTCAACTTTGTCAGTTTGTTGCACTAAGTATAATATTTCAACAACAGCTGTTTATATCTGAAAACCCAGTATTTTCTATTATGAGATTGACTACAATAAATTAGCAATCATTACTCGAGAGGTACTTCACTGAATAATAAATTGCAGAGGCCAGACACACTCTCATTTCCTGTCTTCTGCAGCTGACATCTTACAGAATTCATGGTATACACTGAGAGTAAGCAGAGACTCTTCACTTTCAGACATACAAGTGGAGGAATACAAGTACAGATACGTAGGTTTCACTTTGTATTAGAGGACCAGGATAAGCAAATGGAAATAAACAGTTTTTACTCAAATAGACTTACACTGTTGGCCAACTTTCATTCTTATGCCGATAGGAAATACAAATGTTACTTATGCCAGTAATAGTGAGACAATTATGATCTAAATTACTGTACTGGCGGTCTGCTACACTTTTTTGGTTGAAGAAAAGTTATAAAATTTTGCACAGTAATAAATTCAGTTAAGAAATTAATACATTCATATATGATTGCTATTATTACTTACAAAAAACTATTTCTAATCAATCAAAATATAGTCACAGCCACCTGCTTTCTATAGTAAGACAGGTTTCTTTCCACGTATGACTCTGAGATGAAAATGTTGGGTTGTTAGGAAGGGATCCACTTTTAAACTAAAAGCAGAAAGAAAAAAACCACCTCAAAACTGAAAGACTAACTGCAAATTTCTTCAGGAAATCAGGAAGACTGATTTTTTAAATAGAGTACAACTTATAACTTATATATATATATATAAAACTTAGAGTATAACTTATAACACTATATATAGGTGGTCTTGTGGAATTATTGTGTGCAAATTTGATATCTGACAAATGAATCATATATTATTATTGCTCTATTGTTAGAGCACAATTATTCACAACAGGTTTAAGACCGCTGGAGTCACAGAAGTCTTAAAATGGGGATAAAGAAACTGTAAGCAATTAGCTATCATTCTTAGCACTTAATCAAAACTTGATAGAAAAGACATGACTTCAGTATAACTACTATTTTACTCTTCCTAGCAATCTAAACAATAATTAATGCATGACAAAGTACCCAGTGATCTAGCAAATCTCTAAAAGCAATTCAAGTATTTACATAAATCTTTAATTGAATTGTAGCACAGTTTTACAGAAAGTCTACATTTACATGCTTCATGCATTTAAAAATATCATAGTATGCAGTGTACAGTGCATACAGGAAAAGTACAGGAAAAGAATTGTGTCTTACCACTGCAGCTGGAACTTGATGCATTTTTGCAGCAGGAGTTCCTGGGCGTGGGTAAAATTGATTAATAAATAAGCTTGGAAACTTATACTGTTCTACAAGTTTCATAGTTTCTTGAAAATCTTCATCTGTCTCTCCTGGAAAACCACAGATGATGTCTGTAGCAATTGTTATTCCAGGCACTCTGTGAAGAAAGTAGAAAGAATTACTGAACTTAGGACATGTAAGTCTTATTCCCCTAAAAGCTAGCATACACAGACTTAAAACTCTTCAACTTTACAGAAATTGAAGCCTAAAACGATCTTTAGAGAAATAAATAAATACATACGTACATAAAATGATTGCTTGGGGATGAAAAATACATTTGGCACTCAGCAGACAGCACAAGCAACATAGAAGACATTGCAGTAAATAATGGATCAGTATCATGATACAAGAGTGAGAACACTTGGACTAACTCTTCCTTCATCAGAAATTCTAGGTGATGACAGATTTCTTAGAGTCTATTACTTAATCCACAAAACGTGTAACTTCTGAGCCACTAGAATTTTTAACACTGCTTTCAAAAAAGATCAGGATATCCAAAAAAGGGGGCTGGCATCTCACGGAGCCTAGAAATTATGAATATCAGTAAGACATCTTTTAGTCACAATTTAATTTCTAACTCAGTACTCCATAGAAGCCAACTATCCTTTGCACTAAAAGGAAAACAAAATACTTCAGTTTACAGCCACTGAGCTCTTCTGTTCATCAAGTTCAACAGCTCCTAACTGTTGCACTTGGACTGAAGATGCAGAACCCTTAAGTACATGGCCCAGAAAAAATGAGTTCTTCAACCAAGAGATTACTGCATGGTATTCACAGAGCACTCTATGGGACCCTGGAGATATCAGCAGAGTTTTCTGAATGTGATGATAGCCAGCTGGATGACCACTGTCTTACGAGAAGCTGGGAAAACTCTGCATCGTTTTGTGTCTCCGCCAGCTTGTTTCTGAAGTGGGAATAACAACAAACCTCTTCTGCTGACAGGCAGAAATAAATAGCACTCCCAGCGCTCCATACTGACACAGAAAAGGCTGTGGTTCCAGAAGAGGTAGTTTCTGGACAGTAACAATGATAAAGTGGAGAAAATATAATGTACCTTTCCTAGTAAGTACCCCATACAGGTACTGGTAGCATCTGACCTTAAGTAGGTTTTGTTTCAAGTAGGGGGAATAGATGAGATGCTTTCTAGAAATCCCTTCCAATTTAAATGTCTAAACAGTACTTAGGTAGGCTATAGCAAGGGAACAGCTGAGACCTATTCTCTTAGAGGTGTCTTATTACAGTGCAGCACCATAGAAAAAATAATGCCGTGCTTACAGTGGGCAGAGAAACTTGGCATAGCCAAAAGAAATTTCCTGCAACACTGAGGTCTATGCAACAGGAGAATCTACTGATAAAAGACCGAGGAAAGGGGAAGTAATTTAATTAGGTGCAATGTTACAGGATGCAAAGTTATATTCATCCCAGGGTTTTTAGCACAAACAATATATGGTAGTAAATATCTTTTGTGACTATTTAACAGAACAAAAGAAAATGGCTTGGATCAGGAATGTTGTGGTGATCATGGTAGGGAACTCATCCTGCCCCTGTACTCAGCAGTGGTGAGGCCTCACCTGCAGTACTGTGTTCAGTTTTGGGCACCTCAGGACAGAAAGGACATGGAGCTGCTGGAGCAGGTCCAGAGAAGGGCAACAAGGCTTGTGAAGGGCTTGGAGAATATGGCCTATGAGGACAGACTGAAGGAACTGGGGCTGTTTAGTCTGGGGAAGAGGAAGCTGAAGGGAGACCTTATTGCTCTCTGCCAGTATCTGAAAGGTGATTGCAGAGAGAGCGGGGTTGGTCTCTTCTCACTGGTGACAGGACGAGGAGAAATGGCCTCAAGTTGCACCAGGGTAAGTTTAGGTTGGATATCAGGAAACACTTCTTTACAGAAGGGGTTCTTAAGCACTGGAATAGGCTGCCCAGGGAGGTGGTTGGGTCACCATCCCTGGATGTGTTTAAAAACTGTTTGGATGAGGAGGGTTGTTAGAGTTAGGGTAGTATGGTTAGGTCGTGGTTGGACTCAATGATCTTTAAGGTCCTTTCCAACCTGAGCGATTCTATAATTCTAAATAATTTGCATATATGTAGTGGCAACAAGTTTATACTAAAGTAGATGCCTTGGCCTCATCTCACACATGCCAGCATATACAGTTAATGTACTGCACAGGAATTTATTAGACAATGTCTTGTTGGAATCTTCTTTCACCTTTTCCTTACAAAAAATGCTCACAGAAGAAACAAAACAAATTCAGTTCCTTTTTGAATTCATGGATTCTCACTCAATTTTTCGACATTTCTGTTAAACACAGAATTTGAATGTCAAACCAAAACCTGTAAAATACAGTTATTGGACTAACTCCTTGAAGATGTCCAGCAAGTGGGAAACAAGCTCAGTATTACACAAGATAGTAAAAAATTCCCAAACTATTGGTTAAACTGCTTCAATTGCCAAAGGATTCTTAAGGCTGACACAGTGCAAGATAAAAGGTTCTGCAACATGATTTCGTGAACATTACAAATGTTTTGTGCAGTAATGGTAAGCTTATGGAAAAAAAATTACATTGCTTCATAAATCAATATCAGTAACATCAGCTGCCATTGCTCAGAACGTGCACAGAACATTCATTACATTTGACAAAACCATTATAATGAAGTTATTTTAATGGCACTATCAGAAGCAGTCAAAGCATTTATTACCAATGGTAGTAGTAATACCATCCTTGATAAAGGTTTGGTTGTTTCTATAGCAACATGAATTATAAGGCCCAATCAAGCTAGATACAATAAAATATGCTCTTTTTCTCCATAACACCAGTTGTCACTCAGTTAAAAGGAAATTACATATTTTAAAAATTCATAAACGGTACAAATGTCTGAACTCCATTTGGTGGTAAGGTGTTAATTATCTTAGTAATTAGATTTCTTTCTGGATGGAATTATTACACACAAAGAAAAGTTTGGGTATGGAAAGAGAATAAGGGCCATGGTATACTCAGCAACAGCAATTAATGAAGGTTCAATCCAGTATGACTGCCCGAAATACAACACTGTATTATACATTTTTATACCACTGTTGATGATACTGTCCAAAAAGAAGTCTTTAACAGGGGGGAAAAAAGGGATATGAAATTTCATATGGAATAAAACCCAGTTACTGACAAAAATCATGCTCTTAGCCTTTCTCTAAGCACTCATGGACAAAAGCGAGAGAAATTAGCTCTGCAGACAGCATAATTTCTGAGTGAAATACACAGTTAAGAAAAACATACCATAGAAAAGTATAAAACATACACACTTGAAAATTAAGGCAACCTCTGCTCAGTCTGAAACAAAGCAGCATATTTTCTCATTTTTGTCCCTCTACACAAACAAATCTCTTCCACTTGCACAAGGAAAGTTATGTTCTGTGATCCTAAACAAGATCAGTCATACAATCACCATCATTTTAGGCAGTTCTAACTATCCAAAAATGAGCAGGGAATCCGTTTTATAGCAGAGTCCATTTTATAGTAGAGTCCATTTTATAGTAGAACTGTACGGTGCAGCACACTTAAAAACAATCATAAACTTGTGCTGACAGGTCACATGCCCAAAGCCTCTCAGAAAGGAAAAACGAATGTGTTTGAAATGATAGAGAAATACATCTTACACTCGACCTGAAGGCAAGGCAAGCAATCCTCCTGGGTCAGAGAAAATAAATGTGTTTTACCTTCCAGATGAGAGGCTGATGCCTGGAAGCACAGTCTATGAACACAAAGTATGTTACTGCTGCCACGAGAGCTGCTTCTCACAGCTCACAGGCATGTGAAGGAGCTCCAAATAACTCCAGAAGAATAAATATGGTTCAAGCAAGCTGTGTGCCACTACAGCTTTGCAGGTCATGAAGTCCTTCTTGCTGAGGTATCTCTGTTGCATATTGTCAATAAGCAGTCAGTTCAGACTAGAATTCAGGCTAGTGATGAGCTTTCTGGTCTTTTCTACTCAGGGGACTCAGTTGCTGCTGTGAGAGAAAATAGAACCTGGACTAGAAGTAACAGAAGTACAGCAGCTATTATAAGTTACCATCAGTGAATTCACCGACAGAGGAAAATCAGACAAATCCTGATGAAATGTGAGTTGGGAATAAAATGCGAAACAAAATCCCTGGTAGACTGATTTAGAAAATCACCTTCTCAGGTGATCACCTGAAATTCTTTCTCATGATTACATATTCTTTCAATTTCCCTTCCAGCATTTACCAGCCATGACATAAAGCCACCAACTGATTCTTAACCAAGATTCTCCAGCCCTCTCATCATAACAAAATACTGGATTGGAATAAATAGCTCTATGAATAAGTTTAAAATAACACATTCTTAGAGAAGGGTGTAAGAACTGCCTGGGAAGTCTAGAGTTCACTTAAATCAAAACCAAAGATGCGATGACCTAAGCAACTTCTCCATTCATAGATTAGAATCTCATGCTAAAAAAAAATGTTAGAGCCTTTATGGAGCTAATGCCCCTTTAGGGAAACTGAAAATGAAATCCAGATAATAAATTAAAATGAAATGATTTCAAGCTGCTGGAGAGTTGGTCTTTGAAGCATATTTACAGAACTTAACAGGCATCTCAACGTGCCATATTGGGTTGGAGTTGAAGGTGGCAGCTGCATCTTCCTCAAGACTGCATGGTCTTCCAGGCCTGTTCTTCCCCCATTTTCTTTTTTTCCTCTAAAGAACCAGTTTTGTGGGATAAAGAACCAACCTTGTGGGATTTCTGACAGGCTTGCACTGCTCACTGAGGAATCCTATGAGCTGAAGCAGAAGGAAGCAGGGTACTCAGGTGGAAGCACTGCCTCTGTCACAGGCTAGAAATAAAATGAAATCTCATCCTGTCTCTCCCTTGACTCTACAGAGATTCTCCTGCAAATTAAGCCATGGAGAACTTTCCATGCTTTCAGAGAGCCTACCTCAGATCTGAGACCCTCCTGCACTTTGCTGTATCTTTCTCTTTCCATGGACTATGAATCCAGTACAGCCCAGGGTACAATCTACAGCCTGGGGAATAAATCTGAATGTAATTTCTGAAGCAAAGGTGTTTCCATCTTTTTAAAATTTA